GCTGTTGGCTCTGCGTCCCCTGCTCCAGGGATGGCCCCGTAGGCTGTTTGGAGGGGAGTAGGCACCCCTGGGGGTCTTCCTGCCCCTCTCCTGCTCAGGGAGGGGTTGGGGAAAGGGGAGGGGTGCTGAGCAACATCCCCCAGTGTGGTTAGTGGGGCTTTGGTGCCTTCCCTAAGCAGGGCCCAGGACCAGCTCCAAAACACCTCCCATCTGAGGGCATTGCAGGCATGGGCCCATCCCAGCCCCTGCACTGCTCCCCAGATGTCTGCCCATGCCTCCCTCACCCCTCCTGAAGAGATGCAGGGCAGGGCCCCATGGCTCCCCAGCCCCCAGAGCTGGCAGAGGGCTGGGAGCCGCTTGCTCCTGACGGCTGGGACATGCTGGGGCAGCTCAGCTGTGCCCGGCACCGCGGCTCAGCCTCAGAAGCGAGAGGCAGTTCCAGCTTCTTTCCTTCCACCCCAGGAAAACCACGGGCTGACCCAGCCAGGGAGGAAGCGCGGAGGAGGAAGGAAATGTTCACGTGTCGCAGGGTTTCAGATGAAGCCCAGCTGGGTGTAAACACCTTCCTCCCGCGTCCCATCCCGGGGAGACCCGCCAGCAGATCCCGAACCAGCACCCATGGACGGGCTTGGAGCATGGGCTGTGCATGCCGCCATGGCACAAACAAACGCATTTGGGGACATGTAGACTCTCCAACTGGCCTCACTGTCTGCCAGCATCCCAGCCCAAACAGCGAGCCTGCCTCTCACCCCAGCTGCTCAAACACAGGGGCTGATGGCGCTGGGAGTGGACACGGCACTGAGGACAGGGTGAGGGAAACCCCCCATGGTGCCATTTCCCCAGCCAGGCGAGGGTCAGTGGGGGCAATATCAACAACAGGAAGGACAAACCGACACCAGCTCTTATTTGCAAACAGGAGGAGCGCAGGGGTGATTATTGGGCAGTGGTTATTTGCTGCTTCTCAAAACCACAAAGGCCCTCTGCCAGGTGGGTAACGCCAGGAGGGACACCAGGAGGGCCAGGGCACAGGATGTGGCTGAGCACCCATGGGGCAGCCTTCGCCTGGTCCCAAGGCACCGCCTGCCCAGGGGATGCAGCAAACCACCATCCCTCTCCCCTTCCCCACAGCATCAGCTACCGCCTGCTGGCAGAGCCCGGAGCATGGCTCCGCACGGAGATGCCGCTGCGCTTCCCAGACCCCTGCCTTGGGGTGGCTACCAGGGAAGGCAGCTGGTGCGGGCCATGGGGAGCAGGTTGCGGAGCAGGGCAGCTCAGACCCCTCCAAGGGATGGGCCCTGCATGCCGGCTGCCCTAATAAGGGCACAGTGGTGCCGTGCCAGGGCCCAGGCATGCCGTGCTGGCGGCAGAGCAGAACCGAGCGTGTGCTCGGCGCTGACAGCACGCTGGGTTGCCAAGTCTCAGCGCAGAGACCCCATGGGGGACGCCCCAGTGTTGATGCCGGCAGCTGGGCGGGTGTTTCTGTGGGAGGGCTGGACCTGGCGGGAGGAGTGGGGAAGGGATGCCCTGGGTGCTCGGTGCCGGTGCAGATGAGCAGCCATGGTGATGGGGATCTGGGTGGCACGGCGTGCCCATGGGCAGGGCAGGGCAGCAGAAGGATCCCATGGCCATCCGTGGCAGAGGCTGGACCCCACTGCACGGACATCCCTGCTCCCGGGGCAGCAAACCTGCCCAGGGTGTGTGGAACTCCCTGCAGGCCAGCAGCCCCCATGCAGGCATCCATCCTCTCCGGCAGCACCCTTCCCCGCAGCCATCCCCTCCAGCAGCATCCTTACCTGCAGCCCTCTTCCTCACAGCCATCCCCTCTGGCAACACCCTTCCCCACAGCCATCCCCTCTGGCAGCACCCTTTCCTCCAGTGCCAGCCTGGGACAGAGACACAGCTCGGACAGGAGGCTCACTGCCTGCATCCTAATTTGACAGCATCTGCCATCCGACCAGCAGAAAAGGGAAAAAAAACCTGACAGAGCCAAGCCGGCCGCTGGCGCAAAAGCCACGTAAACAACACAGAGATTGGGGAGGGGAAATAATAAAATCACTGAGCGACTCTGCTGAAGGAAATGGGCTGTGCGGAGGGCAGCGGGGGTTTCCTGCAGCCGCAGGAGTGAGCGGGGCCAGGTAAGGTCAGCAGAGCATCCCAGCCCCTTGCAGCCCACCGCTGTGAAGGTCAGGGGTAGGTGGCATCGTGAGCTGCTGCACTGCGTGGTCCCAGGGCCGGACTGCCGAGCTAGCAACAGCAACCTTAAAGCTGCCGCAGAGATCTCACAGCATTCTGGCACCGAACCCGCATCCTTTCTCCAGCAAACACCAGGACACACCCAAGTGCTAGTCCCCCAGGAAAGAGCATGTGCTAGCATCCAGGGCAAGCACTGTGTTACAGTAGTTCAGGAGCAGCTGGCTGCTCCCTCCCTCCAGCATGCAGTGCCAGAGGTGGGCTCAGAGGTGGCACCAGTGGCTTCCCAGCTGCATTCAAGTTTGCAGGTGCTTCGGAGGGACGTGAGTGGTGTCAGGGCTGGTCGAGCAGTGAGTCAAAGCCACCTCAATCCCGCACGCCACAGCGAGAGCCTGGTCCCATTAGTCAATGGGAAATTGGCTCCCAATTTCGCCAGCTTGGGGAAGTCACCCTAAGGCTCGCTTTATCGCTGCAGCGTTGGGGAGTTGTCCTCTCCTTACCTTCAGCTGGGCAAAGGCAAGGGATGCAGCAGGAGCCTCGCTATGCTCAGCAAGTTCAGTGAGCCACGGTCAAGCTCACAGAAAAGCAGGATTTCCACGGCAGAATGGGATCCTGGGACAGGGAAAAAGCCTCACTCCTCAGGGCTGTGAGCATCACTCCAACTGCCTCCTCCCTGCCCTGCGAAAACCTTCTCCCAGATGCACCCCGAGCTGCTGAGACTGGGGGTTCCCCGCCAGCAGCCCTCCCATCACCTCTGCGGAGTCCCCAGCAGTTCGCTGGGTGCTTGAAGCCCTGGCAAGGACCCATCTGGAGCTGGGGACCTCTTCCTCCCCATGCAGGGGCTCAGGAATGCGGCGTACAGGGTCTGAGGCCAGCAAAAACGTTTGAACTCCCCCCCTAAGAGGCCCAGAGAGGCCGTCTCGCACTGCTGAGCGGCAGACGCGCACGGCAGCGATGGCTGAGCCAGAAATGGGGAAGGGGGGCTTGGATCCAAATTCTTTCAAGATGAAGCCGCTGGGGAAGACTCAATCGTCTCCACCGACCGGCTCTGGTTTGAACGCTTTGAACACGGGGACTGCCAGCTTTTATCAGGATGCGCTGGCAAGGTAGGACGCCAGCTCCTCGCCCTGACAAGGAGAAGGCAGCTCGCACAAGTCCAGAGCATCCTGGAAGAAGGTAAGGGAGGAAAGTTAGCAAAGATGCCCACGCAAGCTCGCCACAGAGGAACCTGTTCTGCAACGTGCCCGTGTTCTCTGGGAGCTATGCGCGCCACAGCACCGAGTCTGCAGGAGCTCGGCACAGGGTGAGTGCCCTGGCCATGCCGGGCTCACAGCAGCGATAGCTGGGCCATGAGCCCCAGGACGCAGCTCGGATTCCACTGCGGTGGATGCTCAGGGTGATGCCGGATCCCTCTGCCCCTTGCCCCGTTCCTCTGGAAGGAAAGGCAGCTTGTTTAGGGATGTACTTTCAATCTCGGTGACTCCCTGCTAGTCAAGAAGCCACCAAAAGGGGCATCTCCCTGCACATTTTAATTTCCTCCTCAGTTTTGAAGGTAATTACGGCAGGAGCGAGTGGCCTTGCGCGCTCCCCTATTCAAGCACCTATCGGTACAATTAATCCCGCAACCGTTCTGAGCAGCGGCAAAAAGGGCCTTTGGTGTAAGGTCCTTTATCTGGGAACAAAGAGCTGCCTGTGGGAGAGAACCTGAGGTTGCACTTTTCCCGCTGACGAGCGTTTCGCGTACACAAAAGCCGAGCCACACAGAGTGCCCTGCGCGAGCCTCAGGTCTGGGAGACCCCGTGACACGTTTTCCCGGAGCATGCTGGCCACCCCGATCCCCCCTCCTCCAGGAGGGTCCTTCCCCCTCTGACCCCAACTAAACCCTGTGGCTGTCCTCCTTCTGGACAGGGGATGGCCCCGCTCCGAGGCCAGGGACTTCCTGGAGGGGGAAAGCACTCCCATCCTGCTCAGACCAAAGCAGATCGCGTGCTCTGTGGATCAGGAGCTTCCGAGCCGTCGTGTGCACATGAGGTTTCGGCACTCAGGCACGAGCTGGGCTGCGGG